AAAAAAAAAAAAAAAAAAAAAAAAAAAAAAAAAACTAGAAAATTCTACGGAAGGACATTTGCGATGCGTGAAAATTACCTTTTTCTGGATGTTCTGATATTCCGCCCCGTAGAATTTTTTTAAAATCTTTGTGCATTTTCCTTTTCAAGTGCCGAAGCAGTCACTAAGAAAAATCACGGGGTCACCGAGTTGGTTTTCAAATTATTTGAGCCATAAGCTAAAAAAACGCGTCTGAATAATCCTTTGAAAGCGTTGCAATGGAAACTGCTGGTGACGAAATGACACCTATTTTTGGATAGCCAATGATTATATAATTCAACCCCGTAAAAGTGTTCAACTGGCCTTGGTCAGTCTTTTTGTTGTATTCTTTTTAAAGTTACAAAGCATCAAAAGATGAAAACTGGTACCAGGCACCTTAATAGAATCGCGTGGATGCGTACAAGCCTAAGTCTAGACTGTTTTCAGTTTTTTTCTTTTTTCATTTGGGTTCTACTCGCACGTATGCACGGACGGAAAAATATAGGAAATTAATTGGGCTGGGGTTCCTCAAACCAATCTCTTCGCTCCTAAAACACTTGCCCCATGTAAAAAAAAAAAAAGAGACAAAAGAAAAGCATTCTACCGTACGGTAGATTACAATGTTCCGGAACAACCGAGTATACACATTCCCGAGGAAGCAAAAAGCTAGTTGAGATTGGCCAAAATTTATAAGGCTTAGGGAAGATGAAGCTGAATAATTGAACATTTACGTTCAAAGATCTGTCCTGGTAAACTTTGATGTAAACTTTCAATCTTCCTGCTGCGAATGCCTCCATCCGTTGTAGTTTAGGTTAAAATGGTAGCTTTTAACTTATTTTTGTCCCTATCTGATGACAATCACAGGACAAATTAGACACCACTGATAGTAAGCTATATTTGAGCTGATGTGTTATTTATACCCGTGAGTTTAGATGGCTATGCCAAGAAAGCTAGCCTTAGAAAGTCTAAATGCAGTCAGAAATGTTATTAAGTTATGTTAGCAATACGTGTTTTTACGGTTGGATGCTCGAAGTTTAAATGTCTCGTCTTGAAAAAGAATATATAAATACTCATACGTGCTCTTTCTATCTACGTGTATCGCGTTTACGTAACGAAAACCTATGAGCAGTGCCGTTATTTTTAGGAGAACTTTTCTTCAGACGTCTCTGTGGATTATGCCATCACGTGCAGGTGATATTTTCAGGCACCTGTTGTGTGCAATATTGCCAAAGAACGTTGGAGATATCTTTTTTTCTGTATTGCATACACTTTTGGAAATATTTTAAAACTGTTCGTAGACATGAATTTAAAAACATGCTTCTCTGAGGTTAGGGTACAAAGAACAGAAGCGGTCTTCGCGTTTTCTTCGTTAAAATGAATTCCCCTTTCTACATTTTGCTCTAAGTTTTTTGTTTTGGCCCTTAAAACCTTATACTCCTGTAGTTTTGAAAGCTTTTAAAAGTGAAAACAATTGTTGTTTTCATATGTTATTGCGCGGATGTTTTGAATTTTTGTAAACACCAAATTCATAGCTCTACTATTTTAATGTGCTGGAGTTCATTGTTTTTAGAATCAAGTATTTAATTCTTGTCATTTTTTTTAAACCTCCTTTAAAAATAAGGAAAGGCCTCGTTTTTTGGTGATTTGGAGGTCTTTGATGCATCAGACGTCGTTCATTTAACCAGAACAGATAAGCGTATTTGATAATATTCGAAAAACGATTATCGACACAAAATGTGTGTTTGTTATTATGATCAAAGAATGACAACCCACTTTCCCTACTTCTCATTTGAACTCACTGCTTTTCCAAACCATACTTACCTGTATCCCAGTGACACATGTTCAGTGTAGCAGCAAAAAGACTTGTCCTTTTACAGCATGGCGCAATTATGCATGGATTCAGTATCGGTAATCTTGATACTTCTCCGAAAAATTACTTTTGTTTTCCACCGGAAACCTTCCCTATTTCCTGCGGCAGTTTTCCCACGAAGGCATGATCGTGCGCTTAGCCGTATAGTGTCGACCGTACGATGATGCTTGCGAAAATCTTGATGTTACCAGCCCAACATGGTCGTTATTTCTAGATTTCACACAACTCTAGACCAATATACTTAATGTGGGAACGGTTGTGGAAGAAAGCGGGGCACCATTTAACGTGTTTTTATTCTTTTAAGGGTAATTTGTTCGAAGGTCAAATTGTGATAGACATGTCAAAGTCCATTGGCAATTAAGATGATGCTATTGATTGGATAAGATTTTCGTGAGGAAACGTCTCTAATTCAGAAACCGTGTGTGTACTTTCGCAGCAATATCACAAGATACTACTGATATTAGAATTTATTAAATTTTGCTAACAGTGTTTTTACATTGATTTCCGAGATTGTTTCGAAAAACACGCTGAATTATGTGGATGCGATTTAGCGAATGTGATACCACTTGATATCCAATTCATCTTGGGAAAACGAGAAATTGATGTTTCTTGAGGAAATTTACCATGCTTTGATGTAATATTGATGCTAAATGCCACGAAACTCAGACTGATTTGATGTCTGTGGTCAAGATAAATGAAGTCGGCTGAAAAAAATTATACTCTCAAACGCAAACCACTCAGTTGGGATAAATATAGTGTACTTTGGATGAATAATTTTCTCATGATAAATATGTAGTTAGTTCTGTCTAATGTTGTTTCGATTTTGACGTTGTCTTTGTCTGGTCGCTTTCCTAAATCACTTAGAGATTAATGCACGATTCATTTATTAAGTGAAATATTTTAGAGCTTTTGCGGCTCAAAGCGTTTAGTTTACGAAAACAAGGGAAAAAAATCTGGACTTGTATTCTTATATCAAATTTCTTTACTAACTGATATTCTTTTTGGCTTAAAATATGTCGTGAGCATTGATTTCACGGATTGATTTCACTACGTCACTGAATAATATTAAAAGTAAAAAAAATGAAAAAATTCTTGGACAAGCGGATTCAGTTTACGTTACTATTGAAATAAATCTCAATAGAAATAAAGTTCGAATGGAGTGCAAAGATTTCTGTCTCTTTCGGCCGGCGTCCTATCATGTAGTTGATATTAACCAATTTTTGCCCTCAAGGTATTGGTCTTTCGCATCTTTGTCGTTGCAAGGATCGTGAAGGTTCTATCGCGATCTTGTCTTAAATTTGATTCTCGCGCGGTTAACACGCGTGTTAGGCACGCTCCCTGATTCTCTATTATATCCTAGATCCATACTGGATTATCTTTGGGTTTTTTTCCGGCTGCGCTATTCATCCACATCTCAAGGCTTTCGCCTACCCCTCCCTCCCTCCTCACCACTTCGTTTTTCAGACTCAAAACTTGAGCGTTGACTGTTGTCTTCAGAAATGACTCAGTCCCATTTTTCTTGGTCCAGGAGTGTTCATTATCTAAGCAACTTTTCCATTTTTTGTTTCTATGTAGTCTTCCATAGGTAAATTTTTAATGAAAAAGAAGCAGAAGCAGAAAGAACGCGCACCGGTGCCACACTTTCCTTCAAGTAGCACGAGTGCCGGGTAAGTGTTATTTAATTCAAATTTGACTTTTGTACCAGGTTCTCTGTCCGTAGAGACAAGCGGAGAGCGAGCGAAAAACGCGATAGGACTGGAGAGGAGTCTTACGCCCGCCTTCTTTTCTCGTCTTCAATTTCTGAGAGCCCTAAAAGGAACGTTGGTGTAGCCAAAAACCTGCCTCGTCGATAGAAATTGAAAGAAAAACAAACAGATAAATGAATGGATGAATGGATGAATAAATGAATAAAGGAAAAAGCAAAGAAGTAAAAATATAGGTGAATGAATGAACAATAAAAAGATAAAAAATGAATAAATAAATGGTGTGATGAATGAAAAACAGACAAATACATGAACAAATAAACTCATAAATGAATAAATACTGAACGAATAAGTAAATATGACGGCGAAGAGGCGATTAAAATAAATTAATTACTAACAAGCTGGAAAATAAAACTCAAGAAACTGTTGTTGTAATTCTCAGCTCTCAAAGTTTGATAAAGTACCGTCGAACATCTGATACGGCTCAGCCTTTTCAAACCACAGTTCTTCAGAGCAGTTTCCGCAGAATCTTAGCCTCAAGTTTAGAGACCAAACACGGAAGACGACTGTATAATTACACTATATAGCCAATAAACTGAAAGAGAACGAGGAATAAAATATCAACCTAAAATAGTAATTGTAACAAATTCAACTTAAGAATTAAGCATTTCATAAGCTGTTTTTATATACGTAATTTTTAAAAAGTCTCATTTTTTTGTAATAAGCTGACGAAAACGTGCAATTGTAAATAACACTGAAATGATATTCCTTATTCCTTAAAAATACAAAAAACAACACAATACCAATTTATAGGTTTTTTGTAGATATACTTTGGAAAAGTCATCTTTATAGATAAGAAATTCGAAGGTTATTATATAACGTGATTTTTTATTTAAAAATAGTTTTATACCTTTTTAACGAATGTGACATAAACAGTTTTCTATAACCGTGACATTTGATATTTATCTCCCAGACCAGCATTTTGTTGTTATTTATTTGTTGTTGTTTAAATTGTGGGCTCCTGGTAAATTGTAATACTATTTCGCCTAGTGACCGTGTAGTGATTTGCCTCAAGAGATGTATTTATAAGCATATTTTTTAAGCGTTATATTTGAAGTCATGTTTAGTTTGGTCATATAAGTTATGTTGACCTCGACGGTCAAGCTTAAGTTTGGTACTCGCCGCTGACATGAAACGAAAGTTTGGCTGAGATGCCTGGCAGTTCGAGCCGGGCAGTTCGAGCCTGGCAGCTGAGACGGAATATTGTATTTGCGTCACGGGAATAAATGCGGGTTAGCGAGATGTTGAAGGTAACTTAGTTCGAATGGGGGAACCCCAACGCTTTTAATAAACGTGGTTGGTAATGAAGGTCATAAAGAGTCATCATTGTTTTCACATGTTCAATGGTAGGAACTTTCTAAAACGTCAGAAAATTGAACGCACGCTTAAACTTTTCAGTGCTTAGAGTCCTTGGACTTGAGAACGTAATATGTCATTAATTTATATTCGTAAAATTGTGGAGTTTTCATGAATTTTTTCTAATCAAAAACCCCTCTGAAACTATTTCATAGTTTCACTCATCACCATTCGATATCACATACATACAGTACCTCATGCTCCTTGTAGCCACTTATCTGACAAAACCTAGAAAAAATTGGACGAGTTTTTGAGCAAAATAAGGAGCATAGTTTAGCAAAACCAGTGCAATCCTTGATTGCCCTTGACATTCAAATTGAAAATTCCTCTCAGTATGACGAAAATTTCCGGTACTTTTGTTGACAGATTTGTGATAAGCACCCCATTATCGGTTGAATCTGGGTCGTTTGAAGGTAGCCCTGGACTCCTGTCACAGCGAACCTACTCCGAGTCTAATATCCTCAAGTCGACTGGCGTTTAACATCCACATAAACGATCGCAGGAAAGAACAGTTGCTTCCGCGAACAGTATTTCCCACAAGAAGCCATTCCCTATTGGCGTCACACTTGTTGCCCTAGCCCTTTTACTCCCAGAGGTTCATATGAAGCCTTTCCCTGGAGAAAGGTAATGAGATTGGACAAAACTAGTAGAGACAAGATGTTATTTTGATAGAAATCCAAACTCCCTACTCAACGCAGAAGGAAGCGTATAGCAGCCAGAATAGAGAAGTTCTAGTAAGTAGGGGTACTTTAAGGGTTAATGCTCGACTAAAGAAAAGCCATCTCATCGTTATTTTCTGTGTGGGACTGGAAAGGTATGAGAATACAATTCTAAGAACTGAATTTCACGTTTGTCTTTTATGGCGTCATTGTAAAAAGAGAAAAAGAGATGACCTTTTCATTATTTTATAATGTTTAGTATTTATGCTGGCCCAGGTTTTCAAAGTACAGCCGTCTCGGTACAGCGTGTTTTATATGAAGAACCTTTCCACAGCCGGAAAAACTTAATATTCATTTACTTAACATTTTTAAGAAAGTGTTTTAACTTGGCTACATAACTCTCAGTGTGCTAAATTGACTCGGTGTGGAGACTTTGGGCAGATAGAGATACGTTATTCACATTTTTTTCTTTACCGATCTCTCACCTCCCTTTAATTTCTGTTATAAATTTCCTTGTTGTACTTAATTTAACCGAACGCTTTTGTAATTTTTTTTTTTTTGGATACAATTTGTAGATAGGATCCTGCTACATGCAATAAAGAGTTTTTTAGTCAAACTCGTTTCTTCCTTGTCAAATCTTGTTTATAATCCGTCAAATATCTATGCACACGTGCGATTGGTCTAAGTGACATTCTCCAGTTTTCAAATCTTACGTCCATCACGATAAGCCTTCTTTTTTTAAAAATTAATTGAAGACGGATGAGACATTGCTTTGAGGTTGATGCAGAAAAGGGAAATGTTTGCCGATTAATTTACAAAGTCGTACTGAAAAGTGAATAACGGTATGCTGTTTGTTAACTTTTGTTTCCCACGCGTTGCAAAAATATTTAAAGGATGTTTACCACGATAGCCTCGCATTTGGCGCAAAAAATATGTTCGTATATTTATCCTTGCACATAAATTGGTACCATATAGAGACGTGGGTATGGTTTGCCTGTCAACGTGCTGCACTGGACGATACGATCTACGGGAAGTCAAACTGGCAAAATCGAAAGCGGAATGTCGGCGATACCGCTTACGACTCCGTCGCCTATGATATATTGATAAAATAAAATGTACCTAAGGCCTAAGAATTCTTGTGCACTAGAGGGCCTTAGAACTGGCGCTGTGAAAACATGATGGCGGATGACGTTGACTTATTTTTTACCTGATCTCCAAGGCATGAGCTCAAACCATCCGCCCCTTTTTTTGTCATTCGCTGGGTCGCTTAACATCTGAGAAGCCTGAAATATTTTCAGAAGGAGGTTTAACGTATTGTGTGAGTTAAGGGAGTCTCCGTCACTATTCGCTGCAGGTGTTGCTTTGCTGAGAGGTAAGAATTATGTTTAACACAGATAAGAATTTAACCCGGTTACCTGAGCTGTAAAGTGTAGCCTCGTTAGACTCTTTAAACGTGAGTATTAAAGATAATTCAGCGAAAACTTCAATTCTCCGCTCGATCAAAGTGAAGTCATTTACACTGAAGTGAGTGTTTTTTGCTGTCATTTTCTTTCAGGTCACTCAAACTCTCTGGTATCTACAACAGTCTTTCGTTTCCCTTCGTAATTTAAGTTTGCGGGGTTCTGATCCACAGTTCATACTTCAACTATGCCCATCTTAATGCAGAGCATACAGGACATACGATCTTTTCGAAGTGAAACAAATTGAAGGCGCAATCAGTCGGTCTTCTGTAACAGACCCTCTGAAGTAAGAAAACACTACGCAATAGAAAAATTAAAGGAAAACAATGGTTTTAAGGTAAGATAATCTAGATATTTTTCACAGGAAATTTTGAAATAAGAATCCCGTAGGAATGGAAAGTAAGGAACCGTGATACTGTTCCTGATCGTTGATGACGTTGATCAGCTCTGATCGTTAATTATTCTGTGTGATATTTGTTGAAGGTCGATTGATTCAGTTGTACATAAAAAGGAATGGAGGCTTCAGAATTTATGACAATATACACGCCTAATTCCATGGATTGTATTTTGTCTTATCCGACAGAAGTTAGAAATTTATTCGAACCTCCGAAGTCCGCAAAGTAACCAAATAAACTCGATGATCAATTTGATCTACATGCATGTATGTCAGGTGTTTGATAAAAGGAAAAAAAAATTAAAATTGCTCGCTGTCTGCTTCCCTGATTGACAAGTGGAAAGTTACTATTCAAATTCTAAGAAATTTTCAACTCAGCTAGTTGTGATTCATTAACATTTTTCGTAGTAAGATGCAGTAACCACACCACACTTTTAATATGCATTTCAAGCCAAGAATTGGAATTGCATGCAGTATATGGCCTGTCATCTCTTGTTTGTGAATGCAACAAATACTTCCCTTTCCCTTTGACATATTTCACAGCGAGTACATTTGTCTGAACCCTTTCGCTCAAAGGCTTGATGGAAGAGATTTCAAGTCCTCGCGCTTCAGTGAAGAACGAGGTATAATTCAAGTCTTTGGCGCTTGAAATGATGTTTCACTCAGGCAAGGCTTTAAGAACGAGGCTTTTTTCGCGTATACTGCATTTGTCTTTGTAAATTGGCGTTCCGTTTAAAGGCTCGAAGAATGAGGTATAATTCAAGGATTCCGCGCTTGAAACGAGCAGTTTCGCTTCAGGGCTTTAAGAACAAGGCTGCATATTTCACTTGTACTACACTTGTCTGAATTGAGGGCTCATGTCCTTTTTACCACCAGACGTCTAGTTATTCCGATGGATTCTGATGAACTCCATCGAATTTCGATGGACTCTATCGGATTCCATCTGTCATATGTATTTCGATGCAGTCCATTTGATAACATTTGTCCCCTCCCTAATGTTCATCGGACTTCCAGTATTCTTTCGCGTGATCGTGCCTCCCTTGGAAGGTACTGCGAATAGAAATTTGCCTATTCTATCGGAAAACCCCGTTTTCCATCGAAATCTATTTGTGTGTATTGGACATGTATGGGATGTATCGCAAGTGATATTTTCCAATTTTCAAACCTCACATCCACTACGATAGGTCTTCCGTTACAATCTAATCCAGAATGATAGAGCGTTTTGTGGTTGTTACGTACAGAAAAAGGGACATGTGCTCCTCCCCTAGATCCACCACTGGGTATGGTTTGACCGACAACGTGTCGCGCTTAGCGATACCATCTATGAGAAATCAAACCGACAAATTGAAAGGAGAATGTCGATATCGCTTAGTACCCCGTTTACTATCCTTAAAGGGAATAAAAAAACTACATTGTTGAATTTTTGTGCACTCGAAGAGCCTGAGAACTGGTACTGTAATTGGATGGTTCTCTTACAATCATTATCTTCCCGCTACACTCCAACAGAACTTTCTTTAGATTATAAGCGTCGCTGAGTCGGATTCATAGGCGAAATCGGAAGAAAACGGAAACATTCTGATATGGGGCTCAATATGACTCCGCTTAAAACTACAATTTTCGATATTCATGAGGTTTTAATCCATGGCTCTTATGGCTTCCGCTGAACTAGGACCATCTCCGTTGGTGGAAATCAGCCAATCGAATCGAAAAGGAGAGTAGGGTTATAGAGGGGTTCACATGCAATGAAAAGCAAAACGAAAAAAACAACCAACAACAAGAGAAACACAAAACGAACAGTTGGCAAATAAGGAAATAAAAAGAAAACCAAACAAAAAACGGAAAGACACAGATTGAATCCAAGACCACGGGAGCCGCCATTGCGGAAGACAATTTTTTTTTTAGTCCCGACCATGGCCTGGAAGTACATAAGGCCAGAGCCCGCGGAGCGGATTTTCAAGTGGGGGGGGCTAATGCGAACGCGTTAGCGTGAGCCAACTAGGGGGGTCCAAGGGCATGTTCCCCCGGTAAAATTTGAAATTAAATTAAAGTCTTCTAAAATGGCTAGAAATGGATCTAAAACTGCCAAAAGTGAAGTTAATTTTTAATTCTTTTAAAACAACGAGTAACAAACTGGCCTTCACGTTTGACCAAATTGAAATGAATAGACTAACTTCTAAGTAAAAAAAATAGTGATTTAATCAGCCAAAAAAGTGAAGGGGGTGGGGGCTAAAGCCCCCCAGCCCCACCCCCTGAGCGGTCCCTTAAGGCGGTAGTCCCTGAGACGTAAGCATCGAGGATACAATGAAGAGGCAGAAGTAGATGGCACTCTTCTCCTTTCAAGATGGTCGACAACCCTCTACTGACTCAATACAACAATCAGAAATCCTGTTTTTTACCTCTAATAAGCAACATGCAAGTCCCCACTTTCCCCCAAACAATGATGCCTGGAATTTGTGACCATTTTGAAACACCAGGCAACATTAAAATGGGGGAGAGGGGGAAATACATAAAAGTAACAGAAAAAATTCAAAAAGGAGCAAAGCGTGCCAAGACTTTTGCGGAAGAACAAAGCGCGATAAACGACGATACTCGTTTGCATTATTTTTGCGCAGTACTGTAACATATTGTCGAGATGACGGGCGGCGTTGGGTTACTTAACCTGCTCTATAAGGTGTGAGTTCAAACCAGCCGAATTTCAAATGAACCTAGTTTTGGAGGCAAATTTGTACTCTGCGACAGAACTGTGTTAGAAGTATAGTGCTCAAGGTCACGCTGACGAGTGTAAGACAAGATAATCTGTCACGTGCATGGCAACCTTTGGACCGGGGAGGAAATTGGAAGATTGCCTGCTAAATACCTCTTGGACAAATAACAAAACTTTCTAAATATAAATGTTTGTGCTATTAAAAACTTTTGCTATCGAAATCACGCTTATCAGCTGTGCTCTACGCTAAAAATTTTTATATCAATTAATTGGCAATCTTGACGTTACACTTTAGTTTGTACCATCCAATCGGATGCTATATGCTTTCCCTAGGAAATAATTCATTCTAAAGATCAGCAGTTCAAATACGCCACACGCAACACCAAAATTAAGTAATTATTCTGGATTTCTGCTCTGACGTAATTTGGCACAATAATCTGGTGTGTGTTTTCTTCCCCTAGCAACAGGATTAAAGTATCAATTTATTTGTACCGCCTCCCGGTTAGCTCAATGAATAGAGCGCTGGACTGTTGTGCGGTAGGTCGAGGGTTCGAGCCCCGGCCGGACCATCACTCAGGGTCTTAAAATAATTGAGAAGAATTTGCTGCCTTTCTATAACATCAAGAAATAGTTAGATATTCTAGTCTTCTCGGATAGGGACGAATAAATGGAGGTCCCCGTCTTTTGCAGGGTTAGGGGCAGGAGACGTTAATTTCCCACACACGAGATTACTGCGTGATGGATGTTCTCCCCTGGGATGTCCTCCCCTGGGCGCACTTAATTTGGAACCTCGCTCTGTTGTGCGACCCTCACCATACTCTGGTGAAAGTGATTAAATAAATAAATATTCTCCAATCATATTTTATTTCCTGTATGAAAGTACAAACAATCTTGAGTTCCTAGTTTTGCGCCCTTGTTTGTGTTGCCACTTGATATTTCCACTTTCGAAAGTTCCTTTAAGTCATCACGTGAACCTCTTTACGAGAACAATTTTGTTTTAAACCAAACTTGATTCTATTTTACTTGAAAACTGATAACCAAATTAATTCGATGCGCAATTCGCCCAGTATTGTTAGAGCTTCGAAGGTAGACTTTCCTAAAATCGAGTCCTTTTTTCAATTTATCATCAAATGAGCTGTATGTCTAGGTTTCTGGATGTTTTAAAGAAATATGGCCGGACATTTTTTAAATAATAGCGTCTAAAATCCTCGTCAATCTTGTCCATACTTAAATAACTTCCTGTCTTCTTTGTTTACTTTTGGCTCTTTAGCACCACTTGTAATATCTTCCCAAGCATAAATTATGTAGTTTTCTCTGGCAATTAGACAACAGTGTTGCACAGCAACAAAACATGAAGCGATGCTCGCACTCTTGATGAACTGACGTCAGTAAATTCATGTAAAGTTCTATTCCCGACTCACTGCGTTCCCCGCAAAAAACTGCCATTACTCAATTGACGCGGGTTCACTGTCAGAAACAGCTCTGTAGCTAAGGAGAAGTATTGAGTTATCTCTTCGTTTGATCAAACACATCAGAAGTCATTAGTCCAGTTTTAAGAAATCCTCGAGTACCCAATGCAACCTCTGTTATCATGTTTGTAGTTTTCTTTGAAAATAACATGCAAGTGGATTGGCATGACTGCAAACAATTAAAAATACACAGTCACTGTGTTGCGAAACAACAGCGCGCGTGTAGACTCGGACGAAGTTAGGCAACATTTTTCAGGTTATAAATTCACTGTCAGGGATTTTCTTGCTGATGTAAATATGGTGGAATTGGCTCAAATATTCTAATGTATAATAATGACGTATTGCTAATCGTTATTAGGGTAAGGACTCAGTTCTATACTTTCTCCAAGGTGGCTTTGCTTTTGTTCGCGTTAAATTGTATTTTTATAGTTACTTTTGTTATTTTTTGGCTGTGATATATTGAAACATTCATTGAGCTAATCACGAGCGGTAACATCACAAATCTTTTTGTGTGTTTTTTTCCACCGGTCTTAACTTTTAGACTTGTCAAAACACTTTGTGTTTCAATTTGTTTTGGCTGAGTATTGTTATAAAAGTTGCCCGGTGTTTCACTTTTGATCTTGTGGTGTGATCATCTCAGTTCGATTTAATTTAATTACAGTAGGATATAATATTGCTATTGAAGAAAAGATAATAATGGCAAACCTCAAGCTGCTGGGTGCTTTCGTCCTTACTAACCAGCAATAGGCCTAGGAAACCATATGGACTCACAGCAAGCGGGCGTGTTTTGCATGGCTTACTCGGAATAATCCGTTACGTTAGCTTCAGTGAAAGGAAAGAGACAAGAGAAATAACGCAAAGACCTACAGCCAACTAAGTCCGTGGTACTTGCTGCCACTGCATATTAACTCCTGTTTAACTTATCTATTTCCGGTGGTCACCCGCAGTTACTGAAACGGTACCTTCTCTAACAAACTTTGCTATTTTTCATAAAGATTCATTCAAACAGTTAGCCATGTATCAAGTAAATGGAATGGATTTCCATGCTTCTATTTTTGCCCTTAAATTAATTTTAATTATTATAAGAAGCAGTGATTTTTTGGTTGTTTATCGTGGTGTAAAAATTGCGACAAGAACAAAACTGATCACCGCTTGTCTCTCGATGCCGTCAATTACGATGTGGATCGCAGCGATTCGACTGCGCGCTGCTAATCTTCTGCAGACGATGAATTTGCGTAATTGTCACTCAGACAAATACAAGTAAATTGTCCTGAGATGGAGTCAGATCTTTTAAGCCATCTCACAATCATAACTTCACAGCTCTTTTCGAAAACTGTGGGGGACTATCTTAAATTTTAGCATGGTATTGATCGCGTGATGGAAACCGAAATACCCATTGAATACAGATAATATCATATGTTTTCTTTTATTTGCATTCGCGATCTTAGATGAATGAATATATTTTTCGTGACTAGAATTATTTAAACTTCGGCCCACGCAGGCGTTTATCAGTGGAAAACAGCTTTGAAGAGCTTCAATAAATACTTTCGTTTGATGAGGAAGTTGAAAGCAGATCTTGGTTTGTATAGGGAGGGGTGGGAGTATTACCCGGGAGTATTAACATCTTTTCTCCACCCCACCCCTCCCTTTAGATAGTAAGCTTTCAAATGTTACTTCCGTATCCAAACATTACCATAAACCGTCCTAAAGTGCTTAGAATTTAGAGTAATTTTCGCCCGACAATCTGTCAACTTAGATTAATGAAACACCATCAGGTAAAGTACCGTGTTATTCAGCTCGCAGGTCGGGAGATATAAGGATTTAAACTGTCTATTGCCGATGAGGGTGAAAGATTAACAAATCCCTTAAATATTTCCTCCCCTAATACCCAATTAACCCTAACTGTCAAGTGCAACTTTCCGACCAACATACCTGTACGTGTTATTCAACTCGGAGAATCGTTGCCCTACACAGAGCTGACGTATCCTCCAAAGATGAAAGTGTTTCTTTCTATTTCGTTTCTTTCTTTATCTCGTAATTGACTGTTGTATACTTAGGACAAATATGCTAATAGAAAAAACGTAGGTCATGTAAGGGAAGTTGTTTTTTTCAATACCTCGTGCAAGTTGGGAGGTTCAACAATCTATTTTACAGGTGGAATGTTTTTATCCCTCTATTTGCGCTTGCGATACGAGATAAGCATTAGTCTGTTATCATAATCCGAGCGATGTGGCACTGCACAATGAAAAGCGGTCTGCGTTATTTCAACACAGACCAGCTGGGAAAGAAATTGACTAGATCCCTGCAACAGTTGTGTATGTGAAAAAAGAAAAAAAAAATCAGTGAAGATTAAAACAGATGTCGACAATTTGTTCGGGTGAGTGATATGTGAGGCATTATCAATGATGACCGTGATGTTGGTGGGTAATTTTAGCTCGCTGCTTCTTAAAATTGAAGTTTAGATCCAATAATTAACGAAAGCGGATATCATTATCTTAAATAGAATGACCTAAGTCCTTTTAAAACTGGCTTCTATGGTTCAACTTCGTTCCTAGTTTTGCTTGATGCCGCGGGTATACGTTACGAGAAAATAAAAATAATCAAACAAAACAAAAACGCGTGCGTAACCGTGTAAAAAAACGAAGATAAAGTGTAATCGCTAATAATTCCGACAGAGGCCACTTCTACGTGAACGTGGGTTTAAAATGTTAATTGATAGAATTATACAGGCTAGAAGAGTCAGCTTCTGCCGCTGCTGTCTATAACAGGTGGCGGGTAGCTCTCCCTTACGACATCGCGATGCAATGCGTGATAAAAATTTTAAGCAGTACTAAGTTTTGTAAAGAATACTTCACGAAACTAGATTTATCTAGCGCGGAAGTTTATTTTGTTATTCTTGAGGCTGGATTTAATCAGAGAGCAGGTTTTATTGATTACGTCGATGCTTGGCAACCAATCAGCGCACGGAGTCTGATAAGGCCTGGGTTTTCGAAGACAGGGGCGTTAACACTTTAAAGGGCGACTCAGCAAAAAAAACCTTTGCTCGTCTCAGGCATCAGATCTTGCAGTTCACTTCTTGTGGTAGAGATAGCTTTCGACGCTAATCGGCCGAATACGCATTAAAATTTCCAAGCAGGAAAGTGAAAGCCGTTTAGAAAAGTCAAAGACTGAGTTGTTATTCGGAAATAACCCGTCTCACGAAACTGCAAGAAACTAAAAAATGTTATCTAAGAAGATGCGACTTTCGTCAGTCGGTGTAGATCGATCCTTAGTACGTGGGGCTTCATCTAGGGTACCGAAGGAACGCAAGCGGTTTACACCATGGCTAGAAGAACAGATCGAAGAGGGAGACATTGACGGCTTGGAATGGATCGAGAAAGACAAAGGTATTTTCAAAGTCCCTTGGGTTCGCGTCGATAAACCAGAGTTCGTCCTTGAAACTCATGCAGAGCTTTTCAAACGCTGGGCTGAGCACACTGGGAAATATCGTAAAGGGGACCAGCCTGATCCGTCCACATGGAAGACCAGATTTCGCTGCGCGCTGCGAAAAATGAACGAAATCGTCGAGATCAGAGAACTGGGGAGTCTAGAGGGAAGCAAGCCGTACAGAGCCTTCAAGTTTGAGCCGAAACTGAAAGGTGAAGTACGACACAATTGTCATATTTTTTCGATCCACCTCGCACGCTTCCAATAGTTTTGTTTTCAACATCAGGTCATTTTATTTTTACTTCATGTTTTTTGCATACAATATGTGCCTGTTGTCTCCACAGTTACCATGTGTTCATACAAAGGCGTTTAGCTTTAAATCACTAGATGTCACTGCTTTGTTCAAGGAACTGCAGGAACGTTTCAAAACAAACTTGTACAGATTAATTTGCGTATTCAGTTCTTACAGTCGTGAAATCAAACAACCGTTTGCCCTTTATCAGTCAACCTTATGGGGCTTAGCGTTTGAAACCTAGCTTTTATTCTTTTGAGGGCCCACAAGAAATTTGTCAAGGAGTCTATCTAACGCGCAAGCATTCCCAGACAAAAAAATAATACTTCTGAGGAAACTGTTCTTGAGTGATAAAAGTTTGCCTTGCGATAAGTTGGGGTCTTTGACCAGAAAAGGATAAGCAAAATAGCTTTTGATAAACTAGAAAGTTCAATGGAACAAACAGCTTGGAAACAGTTTAACTATACAATCTCGCTGTAGCCATTTTCTTTTTCCTTGACACTTTTTAAGTCGGGAGCCCTCTAAATAAAGTCTACTTGAGACATCTTGCTCTATACAATGGAATTTTGTAGCTTCTCTTTACCTTGCTTTACAATGAAAACAAAACATTACCAAAGGAAAAAAAGCTCTCGATAAAATGGCAGATAACAATAGCTTTGAAGGACTCCTTATATTAGTCTCCCCGTCATTTCTAATTTTCTCTCTGAATTCCGTTCGATTTGCGAATTCTGAGGTCAGTCTTAAACACACTCACCTAGAGTCTATAACAAAACGCGAAATTGCTCTCCTGTTTGTCGGCGTATGGGTCTTGCAGTTTTAAGTGAAAAATGCGTGTGAGATATCATGATAAGTGCTTTCTAACAAAGCCTAACGAGTAGCAAAAGAGACCGAAATTATTCTTTTTAATTACAGACTCGCTTTTTGATGAAAGTTAGACGAGAAAAGAAACGCCCAGCCACGGGTTTGCGAATTTACACCGGAAACTATAAACACTGAGTGCGGAAATTTACTTTTCATCTGTCTCTTCCGAATCGAGCGAAATTTTCGAGTAGCTGTTTAAAACCCAGCGTTAGCCGTCTAGGTTGGGTAATGTAATGAGCAGATCACGTTTTGAATTTAAAAGTGAAAGAGTTTCAAGTTTACGAGTTGAATTTGTTTCGCTTTGGACGCGTGCTCTAATGACTTACAAATACTGTACGTAACGTTAGACACAGAGGAGCTATTCCCTTACCATCAATTATAAAGTTTTCAAAGTGTTTATGATTAAAACATTACACTCGTAATCCAATTTGCACCTTTTGCTACACGTATCAATATTTCAACGCTTTCATCCATTTAGCGATTAATGGCCCCGATATCGCTTATCATAGGGCGCTGGACCCAACTAAAAGACGCTTTATTCGCAGCTAAATACTTTTGGAAGATATGTCTAGTTATTTTTTGTTAGTTACGAACACTTTTTTCTTTCCACAAGGATGATTTGATAAACTTCCAGCTCACTGAAATATTCTGTAATTTGCACAGGAAGTCGAACTTAAGAAAATTCAGTGGCAATAAAACTCTATGTGGATCGTTACTCGTTGCCATGGGTTTGAAATATTTATTCTTTTATTGATAAAATAACACGTGTTAAAAGCGCACGCCAGACGCCGTTGTTTAAAGGGGAGTTTATCAACACGACAAGCATTCCTCTTTTGTTTCACATAATTAAAATCTGCTCACTCGCCTAGCAGTAATAAAACTGCATCAAAGTTTTTCTGCCATGGTATAACATCTCTGGGAAAAGACAATCACATTTTTTTCGTAACTCGTTCGCTCGGTATTATTGAAGTAACTCGTTAAGTTTTTCTCGAACATAGCATGATTCAATCTGATTAAAGCAACCTTGCTTACTTGAAAACAACAAAGACAATTTCGCGTTTCGACTTAATCTTGAAATCGGAATACTTTGCGGATTTTTTGCATTCCTCGAAATCATCCTGAGACAAAGCCTCGAGCGGGTACCCTACAGAAAGCGGAGAATCAAAAGGAGTTTTGTCTTGGCCTAGTTTATTTTTGGACTTGATTTCCAGTTCCTTCGAGTTGGCGATGCGCCAGAGCAAACAGGAAGACAAATCTACTAAGGCACTGGCCGAATAACTTTCTCGTTTGCTTTACAAATCTCTTTGTACTGATGACAATACTGTTTAAGTGTTAGTATCACGCTCCGTTTCATTTACTCTGCAACCTGTAGATTTTCAAAAACACTTGAATGGCAACGTGTCCATCTGTACTCTTGTTTGCTTTAAAAGGAAAAAGAAAAAGAAAGAAAACAGAACCAAAAAGTAAAAAAACAAGATTATTTTTAAATAATAATCGTGATCACCGCATGTGCGCGTTTTACGGATCCCGGCAAAACTCCAAGCTCAATATAAGGCTAAAATTTTGGAAGCTTTATCGTATAGATTAACTGATTAGCAAGGAAATGTCTTCAAATCATAATTCATGTAGCGTTTCTCTTCTTCATTAGTGATAAAAATATTTCAATGCCGAAACTGAGAAAATCGTTTATTGTCTTAAGTTTTTCAAGGACGTTCCTACGCGGAAAATGAATAGTTACGAAATAAATCCGCGGCAATCGTGCTATCTGACTAACAATAGTAAAGGATGAATCCATGCTGAGCTAACTGCATGGCCGTCTTTTATCTGTGCCTTACCGGTGGCGCACTTGTTACAGATAATTTTGGGACAGTAAGTCTGATTGCCAAGTGAGGGTGACCGCATTTTGCACGAATCTGACAAACGCATCTTAGACGTGTTCTGACCCAATATCATACACGTGGAATCAAGAGAGACATTGCATAAATTAAAAGATAATTTTAATGGAAATGGGCTAGATTTGTCAGTGTGACTCTGTGGCACTTGTAGCTATCTTGAAGTTTAGGTTCGAAATCTTTCACAAGGACTGAAAAAACTTTGTTTTCCCTACTCACGACAATTGACTTTTTTAAAAATATTTTATTACTAATTAAAATGAACGCAGTTTATTTTTTTCTTTCCTTTTTAATAGATATTCGCAAACGGATAAGGAGCGAGATCTTTTCTGAGTGCGATGCAGAGCTAAAATTTTACTTCTGTTGCCGGCTGTGAAAACAATTATTAATTGAGGGATTTATTCACAAGAATGCAATGATGTATGTTGGATTCAATAGCTCTGACACAGCCAATGCGACTGAAATTTATATCCTTCAGTTTGCGTAAAAAACTCTAGAAGGGGCTATACCTCTCTGTTAGGTTACTTGGTAGAATCCGGCTAGTTCAGCTCTGACTCAAACTTTTTTATCGTGATATCTCCGACGTTTACAGTTCTCGAGGTAAAAGAAACATGCACTGTAAAACTCCGTTCAATCTTTTCTCTTTTTATTTCGGTAGAGACTGTTGTATTTTTTGAAAGTTCTGTACTTCTGCGAGAGGTTACGAATAAAGCAGGATATCTGTCTGGCCCCAAGAACAGATATTTAACATAAATTTTGATTTCTGCCCATGAAATATAAGTCATGTAAGAGATCGTGGTCAAAGGGACCATAAGCAGGGTAATAAACTTTGAATATAAATCAAAGGTTTTCGTTACAACCGAATTTGATAGCAACTATCGACGGGTACCGTGCTTTTCAGAATTTTCTCCTTCACTTAGATGCAACTGTCTCTTTTGTTAGTATTGAAATTAAAATTTTCATGGTTAACTTTTTCAATTCTTAATTGAAGTGGCAAAACAGACGAAATAATTCCTTATCTTTTCAGCGATAACTTTCGAACCTTTTTAAATTCGTGGATTCTCGGATCACATCTCTCTGATATAAAAAAAAAAAAGACTAATTGCTACAAGTCTTAGATGCAGACGAGTTTTTCATTTAAGTTTGAAAATGTTAGCCAAATTAGGTTTTTTGTTTCGAATATTCTGTCAAAAGTACACGCAACATGAAAGGATGCGTGTTGTGTCTAAGTATCACATGAGCTTTCTTGTATTCATAAATTTTGTTTAAAAAAACTATGCATGTCATTCAAGGGCGGAGCTTGGAATATATTCGAAAGATCGTGAATGAGGTGTAGAGTTGCCCTATAGCATCTTCCGCAACGCTCGTTAGCCCTGTGAAGAATGATAAAACTCACGCACAAGAAAAAGTTGCATTTCATCACTAACAAATCATCAATGATCTCAATACCTTTGATCTCTTTGTAATATACGGTGCCATTCGTGACAACATTTTATAAGTAACTTTTTACGAGTGGTAGCCAATGGAAAAAGGGTCAGTGAAAAAACAATTTTTTGAAAATTGATATTTTACAGACGGCGGTATGAAGTAGGGCCAAATTTCTTTGAAAAGTTTGCCAATGATTCAAGAACTTATCTCGAACAATCTTGAAAAAGGTTTCGCCTCATCTTCCAGAATATAATGATGTAGATCACGACTGTATCTACGAAAACATTAAACTCGCATGAAAAAAAGACACATATTTGTATTAAAACCGAAGCAACAGTTTTCGTTGCTTTAAGAACTGCACAAAACTAAATTTTAATCGAGTATTTAATTCATTTCACATTTCAGACCGCAGCAGTGCTTTCAAGCGTTCGCCTGGGAAAAGGAGCAGCAGACCTCCCTCTCTAGAGTCACTGGAGTCTAATATTCCCTCTCCGATGGAACCGGTAAAGGGAACTCGAGATCACTTGCCATTAGGAAGAATGCTGAATCATCTACAGGTATAGAACACAGAAATGTCAGTAGTGATTACATAGGCACGCTGCAACCACGCTCTGTTTGCTTAGGTAGAACGTATTTGTGGCGCGTTGAGTAAATGTCTCTGTATTCTGCAGTGTTATAGTTTCAAGAGCTGGTTGATCTAAATTTCGGTGTGTTTTTGTGCCGGGCGAGACACTTTAGAGCGCGATGTTAAGGCCCGTTTATCTTGAATCTTGAAAAATAACTAAGTATGAATATTTTTTCCTTTTAACTTCTTATTTTTTTAAATCTACAAAACTAACTTTGTGGTTTCCTTTCGTGTACTATAATGCTCCGTAAGCTTCTTCGGCAATCTCTATATAGCAAATTCGAAGATTCTAATTTTTCCACGTCATTATCAAATGAATGTAGATCAATGGTAGTCGTTCATTCTTTAATATATGTTTCCGTTCTGTTGAATTCTCTCGCAGACAATATGTGGGCTACATTCTTTTCTTTGTAGATTTGTGAGGAGTACCCTCAGAGACGAAGCTTCGATTATAGGAATCCAGATGGAAGCATTATTGGTGGTAAGTACGGTCTGATCAAGAAGAGGCAGACACTCACAAGAGCTAAATCTCCCTCAGGCTTGAAAACTATGTTTTTCATTTTGCTTGCTAGAGTTGAGATTCAGGTGCATCATCATGATGTCTCTTCTTCAATGTCGTTCTAAAGTCCTTTTCTTGTCTTCTTCAAGTGTATTTAAAAAATTATGAAAGGGATTTTTTTTAGCCAATCGTTCAATTACCAGGGCTGAAACAATTAACGCGTGGTACACTCAGAGAGTACCACCTTCTTTGTTTACGAAAACTAAACTTGAGGGGCAACCCATCACGATACAGGAAATTAATTCAAATAATTTTTTGGAAAAAAAATCTACATAAATAGAGAGAACCTATTTCCGCAATGCATTTTCTTTTTTTATTTTCTCCTGTTATTTTTTTACCATAAGATGCTGTAAGTTTGCTATAAGAAAAACGACTGATGAGGAGGTGGAACGAAAATTTAATACGAAATAAGAGATGAAGAAATTTGACGAACAGCAATGGTCACTTTGTTTTGTAACCTTCAGTTAATCCGATTTTAGTCTACTCGTGCTCCAGGCATTCATATAAACAAGATCTGTTGTTCCAAAACTAGATTTTATCTCCAAAAGAAAGTGAAATACTTGAAGCCACATTGCATTGGTTTTGTTTTCTATGAAGCTCATTAAATAGCTAAAATTACACTCATTATTCTGAATTTACATTGCTGAGTAACATGTAACATTTCGATTTCTTTGTTTGAGACTGCACCATAATAAATTCTACAGTTACTGTCAAAGGACTCAGTTCTGAGGAATTTGAAAGCAAGTTTCGATTGATGTGCCGTATTGCTGTGTTTTCATCACAGTTTGGTCTCGTCGTTTTTGTCAACTGTGTGGTGAAAAATATCCCTCGTTAGATTGCTTACCTTTCTTTTGAAGGACAGAGTTGTTTTAAAATTTATTTCTAGACTTCGTCGCACCCGTTGTTATGCCCGAGGAATTCAGTGGACCAGCGTATGGCGGGGTAAGGTTTTACACGTTAAACTCGCTCATTAACAACCACATTCTTTGCACCCCGCAAATGGCTAAGGTTCACAGCCTGTTAAAAGTTTACTGCAAACAAAACCTTCGCACTCAGTCTACCCGATACCTGAATAGAACTTTTCATAACTTTGGCCGCCTTTTTTTTTTTCTCACCCCGCTGTTTACGATCGCGCTTTACTAACTATACGTCTGAAACAGACTGTAGGAACAAAGGTGCTTAAAGAAGGGGATGGAGAAGGGGTGGGGAACTATCATAAGGTTATCGTACACCTTCAGGGGTGTCTCACGTGCAAGCGATGTAGCGCGTTCGGTTTAAACTGCAGATATCTAAACCTCCTATCAAATTAAAGCTTATAGGACTGGCTATCAGACTATACCAAAAATTTTGAAAAAAAATGAATTGTCGAATTTTTAACGACTTCTAAATGCGAGCGCCCGAATCACCTTTTGACCGTCATATGTTAAAGCGAATTTTGTTTTTCGCTTATTAATGTGTTCCTCCGTTTCCGGAACGAAAGCGCTAAAAAAATGTGTCTGCGATTTGTCATATTCAATTTCAGTGAAAAGTTACAGAACAATTTTGAAATAGGATTAAAAAAATGTGGAGTGATCGTACAAAAATCGCTCTTGAAAAAGAAGTATTTCGAAATAAAAAATTTGGAAACATATTTTTGTTGTTTATATGTAAAACTAGCTACTGTCAAAATTTGAAAGCAATCGAACAAATTCCCTTCGACTTGTAGCTCTTAAAAGGTGATTCGGGCGCTCGCATTTAGAAGTCGAGAAAAATTCGACAATTTTTTTTCAAAATTTTTGGTATAGCCTGATAGCCAGTCCTATAAACTTTAATTTGATATGGGGTTTAGATATCTACAGTTTAAACCGGACGCGCTACATCGCTTGCACGCGAGACACCCCTGAATGTGCACGGTAACCTTAATCTCCTTTTTTGGGAGATCTGTAAGCTTGGTTTTATGTTGTTACTAAGTCAGTCTTAGAGGTCTTACCGGGATTCGACCACAGGCTTATCTTGACAAAAGTGGCCGAGATTTCATATCGATAAAAAGTAATTGATTTGCACTCGTACATTTTGGTCGAGAGGAAATGAAAGGCAAAGAAAGAACCGGATATATTAATACAAACATTTTAGAAATACTCGTTTTGGTATGTATGGCTGTTCATGATTTATCGATCACATTTCTAGGTCTACCCGTGATCAATCAGAAGCCAAAGCCATCAGAGAAATCAAGTTTAATCTCCATTTATCTGTTTTGTCACTTTCTGGTCAAACAGCTTAACGTTTCATTTTAAATAAGTTAGGAGAATCATATGTCATATCAAGTTAACACACCCTTCAACTGCTCTTCGCCGACAGGTTTGACTTGATAACTTTTATCAGTTGTGAGAGAAAGGATGAATGAACCATTAAATATGTAGCCAATAAAAGATAAGTCATAGCAACACGAGAGATTCAACTCTATCGGGTGAAGATCTTACTGAGGGAACAGACAATTTGGCCTGAGGTTACTGTACAGAGGGATCAAAGCTGAACGAGAAAAAGGGGATAGACTGAACCCCGCTCGCAAATTATCAGTTATTTACCTCCTGTTGGGCTGAAACACCCTGAGCCAGTTTGAATTGAAAAATGAATTGAGGTCCTTTCAAACTGACATGAAGATATAAAATATAACTACAGTTTATTGGATTATTCTTTCTTAATTTCTCTTCATGATAGCTAAATATGACTTGGCCCTCGTCAGGAGCTGATAATCTAATTTTTTTTAACAGCTAATTTTTTTTTTAAAGAAAAAAATGGTTATTGTAAGAAAAAAGTTAAATTTACTGGGCCAATAAAGTTGTCCTCTTTTACATAATCACTATGTGCGTTACCATCTGTTGTTACCATTCGTTACCTTGATAGTTCGAAAGTTTGCTTGCCGGCAGTCGAAGTTACTGCAAACAGAATTCTAAAGTGTAATATGTCTATCCTATCATTTTGAAATTATCCTTTCCCGTTTCTTCTTCCTACCCATCGTTTCATTTAGTCCCCAATTTTAATTTTAATTTTAAAAAACTTAGCACACCATCTTTATTGCATATACTTCTTTCCGCTTCCTGTGCTATGTAACCAGGTCGTCGTCTTGTCTGTTGTTGTCACGCGAACCACTTAAAGTCAGAGGGCTGTTAGGCTATTTATAACGAAGTAAACACCTAGATACTACTTTTTCCGATTTCCTCATTGGATTTTTTATTCATCGTATGCTTTGTGGCTCAGCAAATGCAGTTATTAAAATATAAATCCCGTAAATACTGTTTGCCCCCACAGTCATTCGATATTGTTGACAACCACTCGGTTGGCACGTGATTGACAGTTCAGTGCTTTCCATTCAATGGACTACCATGTGCAGATTGTTTCGAACACGTAAATGCACTGTTCTTCTTATTTTTGTTTTACTTCTCACCTTAACTGGACTTGCCCCACAACTATTTGAGAGGAGAGTGTTTAATGTGATATCACCGTCTCAAGAAACAGCGAAAAGGTAACTTCTTGTTAGTCGATAGCACCATTTTAGTTTGCGAATTTTAACACATTCGGTTGTCGATGACCGTTGGTCTGGTCTGGGCTTTGAAGAATGAGGCATAACACAATACACGCTATTCTTATTCAATGACATGGAAATGATGTGGCCGGGTATTCTGAAGTTTAGCCCTGGTCTGTAAAGGCCTTGAGGACTTAACTGAGTAGGTTAGAGAGTTCAAAGTAGCGAATAAATCTCGTCAGTCCAGTTCGCACCTAAATTTCAATTGCTATCCAAATTTTGAAAAAAACCACAGTGAAAGTGAAATGTCACTGATGAGCACTGCTAATTGTCTGGGAACACATTTGCATTTGTGTTCTCTCTGCCACATACATGCAGGCTAATTATTTCGGTATGAAGTATTTTCTATCGCGAAAAAACCTCACAGATTCGTTATAGCAAGTGCTTAGTTATTACCAACACAAATAACCTGGCCGGAAATCTGTGAGTGTCTCAATCTGAATGCTTCATTGAACGAAGTTCTGATATATTTTAATTTTTGACGGTGTCAGGCCTTACAAACATAATTTCGATGGTGTTAATTTGGTAAGACTATATACGATGAAATCTAACAAAGAGAGCTGTCAGAAATACTGTCTATACTGGACAAGGAACTGATTGTTCGCACTCAACAAAGCTGTTTTGTCCCATGGATTACTTTACGTAAGAGTTTAAATAATTTTCAATAGTGTTTGTTTTCTTTTAACTTGACGTTTCTCTGTGAGGGGCCCGTACTTTCTAATTCATTTACAACCGACGTAATTACATCAACCGATCATACCGCAAAATAAGTACATTTAGTATGGATATTCCACGGATTTCTTCGTACTAACTTTCAATGTTACGTTCGTCCATGTGCGATATTTTGTTTATATTTTTGGTCACAAACCAGTGTATATGAACATTTTCATTCAGACAAAATTAGGACAAAGTGCCCAATATTTGGTAGAGCAGCTGTCTGTCACGTGAGTCACGCGATATTTTGTGACTAATCTACCGTGACACGCAAAATTTCTCTCCGCTTGTTAAATGGGTGAAAGTTAACTAACGAATTGAGAGATGGTTGTGTCATTGGAACTAGATATCTGTTACGTTTTCCTTGTCCCATTACGAAAGTGCATCGTTGATGAAAGAAAAAAACTGTCCTTCACCAGCACCATGTCTATTATTTCAAGTTGTGGGATGTGGACCTAAGCGCTTTTCAATTTTTTTTGGGATAAGGCAAAATCAGCGACTGTGACTTTTAACGCATTAACCAAGCTTTAAAATTAACACCTTTTACACATTTTCCTCTGTGATCGCATGAACTATATACCTTGAAACACCTCCACATTTAATGAAAAAACACTTGCATTCCTTTCGAAAGACTAGACACTTTCGGTTCAAATTCCCCATCCCAGTAAGGCAAGGTTCAAAGTCCTTACCCCTGGGCACAGACGATGATCAAATACCCGTGGGTTGCCCGGGGGGGGGGATGAAAAAGCTTGAATTGATCGGCACATCAGAGCAAAGTAGCTTCAAGCTTAGAGATTAACTCCACCATAAACACGAGGTTTTTAACGAAGAGGAGGCTTAATTCTAGGTCATTTTTAGACTCAACAGATATGGTTTCTCGGAAGTAGTGACAAAAATCCCTCCTGTATTGCTTGGATGTCTGTGGAGAATAAACAGAAGCCACCTGAGCTAATTTCTCTGCAAAAAAAAATTGGCTATTTTCTGATCCTCCAGGCTGTGGCAGAAATAAATCTAAAACAGAAGCAAATAATTACTAGAAGGCCTGCAGAAAGGATTCAGGCGTTTAAACCAGCAGTTAGAAGAGGTTACCATAAAAATGTTGTCAAGATATGTACTCACGGGTCGATTTATTACAAGCTTCAACATCCCAACTCCCGGGCATTTAAACTTTTGAAGGTCGGTTCGTTCAAATTCTCGCTCACTCGGGCAAAAATGGCGTCGAGATGCCCCCCCCCCCCAAAGCACGATTCTTTAATATACGATTGGTCAACGAATGTTGCCCCGATTGGTCAACGAATGTTGCTCCGCCCAAGCACGATTCTTTAATATACGAGTGGTCAACGAATGTTGTTGAATTCAGCAAAGTCACGTATTAGGTTTTGGTGCCGCTGTTTAGTTTTTCGATTATAAGCATCATTCTACTATGTGAAAATTTTCTCCTGAGCCAATTGCTCACAGAAGCTACCTTTAAAGTCCTTCGTATTTAGAATTAAAACACGTGTCTCCCGCTGGTTCAAATTCCCTACCCCACCGAGGCAAGTTTCAAATTTCCTGCCTCGGGGCACCGACGACCGTGTTCCCATTGGATTGTCGCGGGGATGTTGAAGCTTCCAATTGTTCGGCGCATTACCTAAGGGATTAAAAAGCCTTCGTGTCCACGGAAAGAAAGTCTCGTGACTGGATTTTTTTTCTGTATCATTATTTGCAAGGACTGGGCTATGGCAACGAATAGGGATTGTTGGGTGGAAAAAATAGCAATCAGTGTGTGGTCTAAGAAAAAGAAATCAGTGAAGTTTGAAATAGTCTGTATCGCAAACATTAAATGACAGTTCTGGGAACCAATACGAGTAGACCACCTGAAATCTCTCAGGGAGATTTTTCGAAATGACAAGCATTATTCATTGGTCATATTGATGTGTTTATATTTTATGGTTCTGCCCGTCGATAAGAAGTGTTTTTTCCTCTCAATTTTGTCTTCATCATCTTTGGAATCCAGATTGATATTGCGCAAATGATTTGTCGGACCAAAGCAAAAAAGACTAAGACACTCTTTAGAACTGGTGATATTGAATTAAAACACTTGGCAACACTTTGTCAAATATAATAAAAGCGTCGTCATATTGAAATAAAAAAGTTGCCATTAAAAAGCACAGAACGTCATTTTCACGGCAGATTTTCTCTGATAACAGACAAGATAATATGCTAATTTCTTTTTCCTCTACTCTCCCCAGTGTGCAATGGCGTCTAGAGTTTTAGTTCCGATTCGTCGGAGACCATTTGCGTGCATCCTTTGTATATCCTTGGTTCTTGGATGGGCTTTGTATTTTAAAAGATGTGAGAGGGTTTTTTCTTACGGATTTGAGTAAGTGAATGTTACGCTTTATATTTTGAGAGTAGCTTAAGTGCGGAAATTAGCGACACCACTGGTTGTTGTGCTCGGGTTCTCGGATTTCTGAACACAGATGTTGTGTGGGAAATTAGGCCCGCTAGTTTTGATTGAGACTGCAAAACTTTAAGATTGAAGTCTTGAAAATGACGCAGGAAGTCTCTGATCTACTCGTCATAAAAATTCATTTTTTTCCGACTTGCATCTTTTAATTCGTTTATTAGCTGACTTTATGTATTCACAAGGTGAGCGGAAACCAGTACATATGGCTTAAAGAAACATAGCTTGGGAATGTGTGATATTTGCCTTCTTGCTTTTGTTTGAGCAACAGTTATTTGATATATAGCCGGCCGACTTGCTGAGTTCTCCGCATATTCAATTCAAAATTAGATACTATAGCTCTTCTTACTGATTATATTTTGAACACTATATTTGGAGTTTTGAGTAAGGATTGATAAATCGCGTCAAATGTGTGGTTAAACTTAAGAGACTTCAAGATGCAAGTTTAACACAACAATGATAGCAATTATAGTTGCAGAAATTATGTTGACTGTCTTACCTAGCCCAAGTTTAGTTTAGAATTTTTCTTTGGTTAGGTATTTGAAAATGTTAAGCCAAAAATAGATAAGGAAGCCGCTCAAATCTCTGAAAATGCAATGTGCTACAAAATTATTTTAATTTCCACACTGGTCTACTTCAATACAATTGCTTATTCACGCCATATCAACCAGTGCACCTGGTCCTCAACGCATAATAATTGTGGTATTGGAGTTGAAATATCAAATAAATCTATTTCCTCTTTCAATGCTGGCAACTATTATCGTTTAAACGAAGATTATACTTAAGAAATATACTTGAGAAGTGAAATAATATAGTATTCGGTTGAAAACACAAAGAATCACCTTCATTTGAATTACCTGCTGTTTACGTACTATAATGTCTGCGGTAGGTCAATATTATGTTTAAAAGTCGCAACAAGAAGATCTGAATAAGTGACAATTTTCTTTCTAAGACATGCTCGACTCTTTTTATAAAAATGTGTCAAAGCCCTGCAGGGCAGACATTGGTATCACTATCGTCTTTGTTCACTATGAATTTCAATTCACGATTTTATGTTCTTCTTTCTCAACGATAATTATCTTATCGCGAGAGCCTTCGTCACTATTTTCCAGCAAAGCGGGCATCGACACCATGAAATCTAAATCGGGAACTAGTCTTTTAAGGGGTCCAGATTGACATTGCGTTAGTAAATGTCACATGAGCATGCGCACAGGAGGGCCACAGAGGCTATTCCTCTAAGATCGCAAACCTTTTGGTGAAAGTGTGATTCCATCATAAACAGGAAAAGCGCGGGAAAAGTTTGGTAAGGATAAGGGAAGCAAGGGTAATCTTTGCATTGCTGCTGTCGTTTTCGGTTACTGATAACTTAGCTTTCTGAAAACTAGGTGCTGTAGAAAATTGGAAACGGCGATCGTGTATTGTGCGCTTGCGCTAGTGCCGAAAGAAATAAGAATTAATTTCGATAAGCGTGCAAGAGGTCTTAAGAGTAAAAAGACATTGATATATGAACCATAAGTGTGACGTGTACTTGTAGCTGTTGTTGTCGGAATTTGCGGAATTTCGTTAACAATATGTTCAGGAGCGCGAACACCCTGAAATACCCGACGGCCGATGAGAGCCTGGGTTGTAAACGCGATGTTTAAGGCACAAAGCTCGTTATAGTAGACTCCGTCTACGTCGGAGACACGTTGACCAACACGTAGTACAGTGGGCTCGGTGGGGAGTGATTTGGGGTCAGGATCAGGCCAGGTTATTGTGTTTTGTGTCGTATCGCCTCCCTCCACCCATGGGTTCGAAGCGGTACCGGCGAACCGTCATTTTCCCCTTGCGAAATACTGGGGATCGGCCTGCTGATGAACCAGTCTACCATTCAAGGAAAGGAGCACTACTCTTATCTGTAGGGGCGTAGCCAGGATTTTTCTAAGGGGGGGGGGTCGTACAATGGCAAACAGAGGGAACTCACCAGATTGTCATGTCGACCTCCACGTCTTGATGTACTAAATGTGACAAAAAAAAAAAAAAAAGGCTTACAAAGGAGGGAGAGGTCACGGGCACCCATTGATGCCTGTGACCTGGCTACACCTTTGATCTTTATTATGCAAAAAATATTGTAATGATAGTAGAAATCTTGAATGTTGCATTTGAACGCTAACTGTGTGATTTTCTGACTTTAATAGGAAAACAAGAACTGGAAGCTTAAAGCCAGTGAGCATTTGTGACTGTGAGAATGACTGCAAAGCTGACGATTTTTTAAAAGATTTACTACCTAATAACACGCCGCCTCCACCGTGCAAGCCTGTGAATAATGTTTTATTCCTGAAGACGCACAAAACTGGGTCCAGTACAGTGACTAACATTTTAAATCGCTACGGCGACACAAGAGACTTAATGTTTGCTTTGCCAATCTCAAGGTCACTGTATAGTTTTTACTGGCCTCGACCATTCCAACTTAGGTTCACACAAGCATTTGGTAGAGCACCAAATATCCTCTGCAACCATGCGAGATATAACAAAGTACCCATGAACTGGCTCTTCCCAAAGACGACAACTCGCTACATTACGCTTTTTAGGGAACCAACAGACCATTTTGAGTCTGTATTTAACTTTTTTCATCTTGATAAACGTCTCTCTAGATCGAGAAACAAGGTTCTCCCATTGCACATGTTTCTTGAAAATCCCTCTTTTTATCTTAAACAAGTGCAAAACATCACAGGATTGCTAACGTTGGCGAAGAATCCGACTTTATTTGAGTTGGGCCTCGATACAAAATATCACGAAAATTTGGTCACAGTGCGGAACTACATTCGCTTTCTACAACACGAGTTCGACATAGTGATGCTAATGGAACACTTTGACGAATCGCTTGTACTCCTTAAACGACGTTTTTGTTGGAAAATTGAGGACATTCTATATTTTAAACTCAACGAAAGATTACAAAAACACAAACAGAAAGTACCAAGTACAGTGAGGGACCAAATTAAACATTGGAATTCAGGCGATGTGCTCTTGTACGATGCTTTCAATCGAACACTCTGGGAGATGATCAAGGAAGAAGGCCCAGCTTTCTTTGAAGATCTTTCACTATTTCGAAGGGAGTTGGAAAATATTAAAACAAAATGCCTTCGGGAGGGAAATTTTCTAACCAAGCCGTATTCTGGAAGATTGGTACAGGGTTATGCAGTACGATCAGATGTCTCTAAAGAACTAAATGATACATGCCACAAAATGATTAAGAATGAAATTCCATACCTTGATTATCATCGTGAAAAACTTGTAAAATTGTATCAAACCATTGATAGATCAGTAAACAGACCATTTTAATCATGAAGATTAGTATGTCATCAACATCTTACTCCGGCTATTCCTGTTTTAAGAGAGTTATGCTCCCAAAACCATACAATCTATCTCTCCCATTAAAAAGTATATTTGACATTAGTATTATTTGTCCGCGTTTTGAAATTCCAAAAGTTAACCTTACCTTACGACTTCGTCTTCAAGTGTGACAAAAAGTCGACAAAAGCCGCCATTTTGAATCTCGCTTAGCAACCTCGCCGCTTACCTGTGACTTGGAAAGTCTTACACCTCTTGCCCCATCCCTTCAGTCGTATTAAAACAAAAAGGAGCTACACAAATAGTATTTTTAACTGAAGTACATATCTGTTGCGTCAAGTAGAGCAGCAACTGTTTATGAACTGCGTTGTAGTTTAGCGTGTACGGCCAGGTTACTGATCGATCTTACAAATGGCAGCTTCCATGCTCGAATCCTTTGCACTTTTATAGACAACTTTCGAATAGTAAGGTCACTTTTTGGAGTCTCAAACGGCGGTAAGTAGTTAATTCTTTTGTATTCTCTCTGATGGCGAGGATGAAATTTGCATAATTTTCGGAGTTTACTTCTTCTTCGTGGATAAACTGGTAATTGTAAATGTTTCTTGCAGAACAGCTTGGCTACAGTTCAGGACATATTTATTCGCCGCGGTAAAGAAGAGGCAGTCGTTGTGTTCTATCGTAATGTGGCGTTTCTTAGTTTCTTTCTCGCTGAGTTAGCAAGCACTAAAGAATATACGTAATAAATTTCTAAGAACCAATGTTCTTACAGAATTAAAGTTGGTTTTCACAGTAAATTTTAACTATCTCTTCGAGCTGTATTTAAATCATGTGTAGAGCAATATTAGGAGAGACTCGTGGAGCTGGAAAAAAGGACGTTTTCGTTTGGTTCACGAAAAAATGTATTCGCAATTACAGGCTTAGGAAATTTGAGTACTGATCAGACGTCCTTACTTGAATAAAATTGTAAAGAAACACAAAAATTGTGAGTGACCTGGAAGGCCAAAACTGGGGCAGATTACATCAACTGATTAGGACCACTCAGTCAGCAGCCCTTAATTTTCAGATTTATCTCTTCCTGTCGGATGAAAGTGAAGTTTCAAAATGAACAGATTTTCTGGTATTGTACATTTAAAGTCTGTTTAATATCAGCGGTCAATAAATCTTAATTTGACTTCCCTGTCGGGGACAAGAAGCGAAATGCTCGTTGGTTTCACTTCATTAAGCGACTCAAGCCAGACGTTCTGCGACACCTGATAGAGGAATATAATTAATGCACATTACAATCAGAAAAGGATAAAACGAAAAAACTGTAATTTAATAACATGTTGCTATATGTCACAGAGCACTGCTTTGTCTCATATTGACAAACAAGTAGAAAATCACTTCAAGCGTTATGAAAACAAATTTTACAACCGATTTTGGTCAAACAACAACATTTTTTGAAAATCTGCAGTAAACAGTTGTTTTCTCTTGTTGGATTTTTTAAGATACGCGCAAGGGGGTTTTTAATACAGATGCAAGTCTGCAAAAAAATTCCTTTACTCGTGTTAATAAAGACGCTCGCAAAAAGATCACGTGATAAGAAAACAAAAAAAACAAAACAAAACAAAACAAAGCAAAACAGCAACAACAACAACAACAACAACAAATCTAAAAAAAAAAAAACAGGCTTGTTGATATACTCTAGTTCAAAATCAATTGTCGGGTTTAAAAATCTTACCCGAGATAAAAGAAGATGCATTTCCAGTTCTGCTACACGGCGACCTAATCGACGCAACAATAAGACAGAAAAAAAGCTCAGGGAAAAATATAGATGCATTACAAATGAAATTCTAAAGATCAGGCTCAGCAAATTTCATCGGTATCACCTCAGAGTATGGCAAATACACTTATTTAGTTAAGGATGTTGACTTCCCTTAAAGCGCACCTAAACCCAAAATTTTTTTTTCACTTAACGAAATAAGCATATTTTTTGGAGTATTTCTGTTCAAAAATTTTTTTATTTGCTCAAATCTTCAATTGTCTGTGCCCAGTCAAAATACGGAAAATCGGCCGCCATCTTGCCCCACGACCGAGTCACACATTTTCACTTGTTTGAGGAGGTTATAGTCGCTATTGTCCGAAAATATGCCGACTAAGTGTGTTGTTGGAGGATGTAGCAACGTGCGAAATTTGCAAGAGGGTATAGCGCTTCATACATTCCTCATACAACACACCTAGTCGGCATATTTCGGACAATATCGACGACAGCCTTCCCAAACAAGTGAAAATGTGTGAAATGCAGACTTTCGTGTTCTCGATTTGACGTCTCATTACCCGCTAGAACCATTCCTCTTTAAGGCGGGGTAAACCTGAAAAAATGCCCATTTTTTGACCATTTTTCATGGCTAGGATTTAACTGAAAACTTAGGCAAACTATATATCACTGGAAAGCTTAGGACTTGAAGATCATGAAAAAAATATTTCACACTCCACATGCATG